CCAGGCATTCTTTTGAAATCTGCGCAGAAAGATCTCTAATCCCACAACTGTTGCATTCCACATGCCAGTAAAACCAGCATCATGTACATGATACTGAAGTATGCTGTCAGAGAAAACAGAAGCCAAGCCCTCTTGAAATATGGCCACTAGATGTCTGGATGGCTTAACAGGATATAATGAAGCCCAGGGAATCAATTCCCTAGGAAGTGCTTCTTGAGCAGAGTTCCCACAGACTCTCTCATCAAATGAAATGTTAATATTTTTGAACCCTTGAACTTGTCAAGGCTGGGGTCTGCTTAATTCCTGAGATGCCAAAAAAGTATACTTCTTTTTGTCCCTGTACCAAGTACTTGGCTTCTTTTTAGTAGTGCTAATCTCTTTAGAAGTCATACTCCATTTGGCCTCAATGTTACACATAGTTCTTTGGGGCCAAAATTTAATTTTTTCAAAAATTTCTGTTCTGCTTTTTGTCCCTAATTCTTTCTATAAATCTGGCTAAAAGCAGCCAGAATACTCATGCCAGAGGCTGAATGTTGAGCTGTCTTTAAAAAAATTATTAGTACATATAAAGTTCATAATGATTACATTTATTTTGGCAAGTTAGTATGTGTATATAACTCATTATAATTTTTTTATGTCCCCTTCCCCTTCTTTCCCTGTCCCTTCTGTTGAGCTGCCTTGAAATTCAGCCATTGATCTTGATTTTTAATCTCAGGACATGGACAAAATATTGACAAATTTCTGCCAGAGTGTAACACAAATGGCCTTTAGACCAACTGGCAATAGCATTCAACCCAACTGAAAACTCCCGGGCCTGGGCATTACTGTCTGCATTCATGTCAGCACTCTAGTTTTCTGAGCTGGTGTTCTGAGCTCAGAATCACCCATCAAGCTGTTTACAAAGCTCTAGGATTTTTTAGGCTGTATCTCCAAACATTTTCAAATCTGTTCCCTGAGCAATTTGCAAGTCTTCTAAAGCACATGGTCAGGTATAGTCACATCAATGATTTTACTTCTCTGTTGCCAATGTTCTCTATTAGTCATCTTTCCTATTTCTGGACACAATATGTCACACCCATAACTTAAAAGAAGAAAGGTTTACCTTAGCAAATGGTTAGAGGCGATTCGGTCTATAGTCTGCTGGCTCCAGAAGAACATCATCCTGGAAGGGTGAGATGGACACAGTTGCTTAGTTTGTGGTGGCCAGGGATCAGATCAGGGGATCAGTACCAAACAGGAATGGGCAAGGGACCATATGTAGTACCCAAAAATCACGCATCAATGACCCACTCAGACACACCCAGATGCGTGCTTTACTACTCAGCTTAGGTGTTCTTTAATCCAATGAGGTTGATACATCAGGATTACAGTCACAGTTGGCAAACAGTGATGCTGTCATTGCCTTTTGTAATATGGAAAATAAAGATTGTGCTTCATGAACTGAGTGATTTTGCTAAGAATACCTCTGGACTGTTTTCAAAGTTCTGCCTGGATGGGGGTGATTCCCTTTAGCATGACACATGCACCAGGCATGGCGCCATGTATGGGATCACATCTACTTTTTGGTTTCTTCACATCTCTGAAGCATTGGTCCTCTCTCAAGTGACACTAGCCAACTCTTTGTCTTTCAGCCTGCTCGGCCTTTGTGGGAAAGTAGTGCACAGAAGGCCAACAGCATTAATACTGGATTGAGACTGGCCGAAGACTAGCTCTCCCAAAATGGAAAACTCATTCTCACCTGTTGTAGTTCATTTGGTTTTATTTATCCATTTAACCACAGCCTGCCTTCTCCTCCATGGTTTTCACTAATACTTAATGCATATTTATAATTTAAATGTATGAAGAATGACTAACCCTTCCCTCCATTATGATCACAATCCTACATTTTGTGTTTATCATTTCCTTATCTTCCTCTATGGTTTCACCATATATGTATCCTCAGTAATGTATTTCATTTATTTAAATAAGGGTCTCACCAGGCTGACTTTGAACTCACTATGTAGCCTAGGCTGGCCTTGACCTCACAGCAATCCTCCTGCCTCAGCCTCCCAAGTACCGGGATTAAAGATTTGTGGCACAATGCCCAGAAATTTTTCCTGTTTCTAAAGAAAAATGTGATTATGCTATATCCATTCTTCTATAACTTTATTTTGCTTTATTTTGATCATGAGTTTCACCTATTTGATTTTTGTCTTAATCTTTGTGTGCAGTCTATAAAACAAAAGACTACTAAACCTACTTTGGCATGATCTATTGTACCTCTCAAGTATTCAATAAAACTTTAGGTCTATGCTGGACAGGATGTGATCACAGAATAGCCAGTTAGTTCAATTATCATGCAAGTGTAGTTATAACATTTGGGAGTAATAATTTTTTTTTTTTTTTTTTTTTTTTTTTTTTTTTTTTTTTTTTTTTTGGTGAAACCAGGGATTGAACTCAGGCCCTTGTGCTTGCCAAGGAAGCGCTTATTCTACTGCGCCATCTCCCCAGCCCCCTGGAGTAAGAATTATTCAAATGATATATAAGACATACTAAATGCATGACTTCATTATTTAATTTTACAAATGCATTTTGTAACACACATGCAAAAACACTGACAAAGGGCGAAGGCGGCGAGCGCGGCACCGCTGAGCACTTGAAATCAGCTCCTTCATTTTCAGCATGGAAGATACCTACATTGACTCCCTGGACCCTGAAAAGCTATTACAGTGTCCCTATGACAAAAAACACCAGATCAGGGCCTGCAGGTTTCCTTATCATCTTATCAAGTGCAGAAAGAATCATCCTGATGTTGCAAACAAATTGGCTACTTGTCCCTTCAATGCTCGCCACCAGGTTCCTCGGGCTGAAATCAGTCACCATATCTCAAGCTGTGATGACAAGAGCTGTATTGAGCAGGATGTGATCAACCAGACCAGGAACCTTGGACGAGAGAGACTGGCTGAGAGCACATGGCAGTGCCCGCCATGTGATGAAGATTGGGACAAAGATTTGTGGGAACAAACTAGCACCCCGTTTGTCTGGGGCACAGCCAACTTCTGTGGCAACAACAGTTCTGCTAGCAACATAGTTATGGAACATAAGAGCAACCTGGCTTCAGGCATGTGAGTTCCCAAATCTCTGCCGTATGTTCTGCCATGGAAAAACAATGGAAATGCACAGTAACTGAATATTTTTCTCAAATGCCAGGACCTTGAAGACTTGCTTCTTTCTGCTACCCAAGAGTTCATTTTTTTTCTCCTTATCTAATTAGAGAATGATAAAAATGGTCTGTGACTTTCAAAAAAAAAAAACCCTGATAAAGCTTGACTAGTCTGTCTTTCTCATCATCCACACGTGTCTGCAAATAACTCAGCAAACCATCAGAGGGAACGGAGAGAACATTCTGCCTCACCTGCAACAGTATTTCCTTAAGCGAATACCACAAGCAGCACAGATAATTCTTTCATACAATGTAGAGACAAAACAAAAATAACACTGAATCCTCTAGATATCAAATTAATAGGCCTGGTATTCTGCTAGGTACTAAAGTATATGTTTCTTTAGCCAGTGCCTACTGATATTTTCATTCTCAGACGCTCTTTTCCTAATTATCTTTGAATTGCGATACTCACATCCAACATGAAGGGATTCTGATGGAATTAGTCTGGGGAAGAGCCCAGGCGTAGGGATTTGTTAAAACTTCAGGACTCTAATGTGCCGCGGGGTTTGGGATCATTGTTTGAAACCACTCAGCCCTCACAGTGTCCATATGGTGCCTGTGGAGACTGAGGCAGGGTGCGTGTGTTCTATTTATTAGGATGAAGATTGTCCGGTCCAAACACGCACCAGCAACAGACAGGGAGAGTCAGGTCCTGGCAAAGACGTCCTGAAGAAATGCCCTTCTTAGTAGGTAGGTGAAGGCTGACCCCCACACCCACCCTGGTGTCCAGATTTCTATCTTTATGCAATGGGAAGTGGGGTACAACTCAGTTAAAGTCCCAAGGACTCAGAATCGAAGTTCACTAAGAAGTTCTGGGGTGTCCGGCGTCTTCTCTCTTTTTTTCTTTTTTCCCTTTTTTTGCGGAACTGGAGACTGAGTTCAGGCCCCTGCGCTCTCCAGGCAAGCGCTTATTCCAGTGAGCCATCTCCCGGGTCCAGACGTCTTCTCTGTAACAGTAGTGACACAGGCTGAAAAGCCGGGAGTGCGCTCTTCCAGGTCTGTCCCAAGTCTGGTTAACCTCAGAGCTTCTTTGCGCTCCAAACCGCAGTGGCAGCGCTGCCGGGTAGAGAAAAGGGAGTGCAGGAAGCACCGCCGCGGGCTGGGTCAGGCCTGCTCGGTCAGGAGGCCTGGCAGCCTTGACCCCAGCCTGAACCGGGAGCGCGTGTCGCCAGGGGCTGCGGAGCGGGGGGCGGCACGCTACGGCGGGGCACGCGGACTACACGTCCCGACATGCCCCGGGCAGGGCGGGGCGGCCCGGGCGAGGACCTGCGGGGCCCGCCGGCGCAGGGCGTGCGCAGTGGTTCTCGGGAGTGGCGGGGCGGGCCTCGGGGCTCGGTCTGGGGGCTCCCGGAACTCGGCAGAAAATCCTACGGAAGCCCGCGGGGAGGGGCGGGGCGGCCCGGGCGAGAGGCTGCGGGCTGCGGGCCTCCGCCGTCCCCGCCGTCCCCGCCGCGTCCCTCGCCCGGCTCCCCCTGCCAACTTCTCCGCCGGCCGCCTTTGTTCCTGTTTGTTGTGGCGACTCTTCGCCCGGGCCGGCCGAGCCCCGGCGCCCTTCGGCAGCCTGTCCGGCACCCAGCGAGCCCGGGGCCCCGCGCGCCCCTCCGCCCGGCTCGGGGATCGGCGACAGGGTCGCG